AAATGGAGTGTCCTGGACAGAAGCTGAGAGATGTGATAAATCTTTCCACTTGTGAGATTGAGTGCATGGAAATGTGCATGTTTGCTCCTTGGCTCTGTGCCCTGAGTTTAATTTACTTTCGTTTGTGGTTTTATATACCTGGCTGCATTTTTTAAAAATAATTATTTTCATGAAGTTTGTGTTTTATCAAGTTAATGTACGTGAGTGCTGCGAGATGGAATGATTTCTCATTTTGAGAGAACATACTGCCAGGGACCATTTGGCTGGATTATAAACCAAATCTCCCTCCACTCAACAATACCGCGTGCAAATCACTGGATTTTGTGCCGCATGTGGACAGTGGAAATTACAGGTGCGCTTAATTGAGTAATTAACCAAAGAAAATGATTTATTAATTATGCAATTGATTAGGTTGTTGATGATCTAGGATCTTTACTTTAAGCATAATAATCCTTGCATTTGATGTAATGCCTTATCGTCTCAAAGGGCTTCACAGAATATATCATAAAGTGGATTGGCTGTGTATTTGGCGGGCGAAATGCATGAGCCAATTGTGCACAGCAGTGCCCAATAAACAGTTGTGGATTGAGTCATGGATTTTTTTTTCTTGGAGGGATTATTCCCCTGGAAAGTGATCCGCCATTCGATTCACAACCAGGTTCCTACTCGATGCCAGGTAAACAGAGGCGTGTGGAGTAAAGAAACTTGCCCAGCGTTTTGCCCCACCCGGGAATTGAACCCGGGTCCTCTCACTTGCGAGGCAAGTGCTCTAACCACTACGCTACAGCACTCCCAATATACATTATAATCCTAGGGCAGCTGAGCTCAGGGCACCTTCTACACAAATCAGTGATGTGGTTCACATTGTGTTCCTGTACTGATCTTCCCAGCCACCACACAAAACACACACACACTGGGCAGGTCAATGCCTGGAAGCAAAGTGATAGTTGGTAACCATGAATACTCCTCAGTTGGCATGTGCCAAATTGGCCGTGTACTCCGCCCCACGGTGCAGATAGTGCCAGCGGTGTAAGTGCAAACCTCAGCGTTTTGATGGCTTTTCTGTTCCTGTCTTGTTCATGGGAGGGAAGGGGCTTGTTGTGTTTCACATGCTACAGTTCCAGTGTTCATCTCAGTTGTCCTGGAACCTTTCCCAGTGTTTCTTTCACACAGGCCTATTACTGACCACGTGTCTCCAGCGCAAGCTTTGACTTGGCTCAATGGGTCCTTTGTCAGATGTGCGTGAAAGGGCTTTTCTTCCTTTTTCCTCCCACTTCATGGTTTCTGCACTGAATGTATTGCAAGTGGTCCTAGTGCCCAATTTCCTATAAGCATCTGAAGGGCCTAGTACCTGCTTCACCTTATGATTGCAGTATAAATCTTTTTTCGCAAGAAATTTCTCCCACAAAACGTCACTCCACTTTACAATATCTTCCGTGAAGCGCTTTGAGATGTCTCAACAACATGATGAAGCGCTGTATCAAATGCAAGGATTATTATTGTTATTTTGTGAAACCCTCTACAAATACACAGTCATAGTGTATTTGTATCATAGCGCCTACAAATACACAGTCGTTACACTTCCCAGCATATCCTGTGAAGCATTTCGATGACGTAATAAAGCACTATATGAAATGCACAGATTATTATTTATTAGTAGTTATAATCTTTCCGAAGGGATTTCTGAACCTTTGAAAGGGAAAAAATTGACTGTTTTGGAACGGACTTGATGTGATAATTATAAAAACGTCACCTTTTACTCTGCCCTGGTTATCCATTTCTTTATTGTGTTGACTCTTCAGAATTTTGAGCTGGATTTGTGGAAATCCATTTACTTTGGCTTCATATCCGAATATCTTGGCAACGAGTTGGGGCCACTTACAAATCGCTGATGTTGTAAATCGATGGACTTTTATTTAAATGGAGTTGAATTTCAAGTGTCTTCATCACTGGAAATGAGAGGGATTGTGCGGTGAAAGTGGAAAGTTGCTCAATTTTTTTTTGTGAACCAGATGTCTGACACACATGGAAACCCATCATCATGTTCAAGATAATCAACTCAGACTGAGAATTCCACATATATAAACCTCCTACACGTAGACTTTTCCCTGTGCCTGGAATGCAATGTGCATTCTCTCCCCCAGAGAGATCCACCCTGTTTACCTAATCCTGGACAGTATTAGGCACGTGCTGGTGAGAGCCAATGCCTGGGGGGACCCGAGAATGTGCAGTGGGGGTAACTGCTGGAGTTCAACCAGCTGAAACCATATAGTTGACAATGGAGAGCAATGATAGGCAAACTTCTCGCTGCTTGGTCCAGTGAGGAACACTCGACTCATCTGGGCTTTAAGTGGTTATGGATGGTTTGGAATCAAGAGGGGCAGAGGGCAGGGAGAGTGGCGGTGGGAGTGTGGCCGAAGACACGGTCAAAGAGGAAGAAAGGTCCTGGGACAGGCCTTTAAGGAAGCGAGGGAGAGCGGCGAGGTGGAGGCATTCGGGGATGGAGTTCCAGAGGGTGGGGGCAGAAAAGCTGAAGGCACTGATAATAATTGAATTGACATGATATTGTGAATCGAGAAGTCCATTCAGACCATCTCCCCCCTCCCATTCTGAGTCGGACAGCTGGAGTCAGACACACTGGGCCCCTTTTGTTCCAGGCTTGGCTGGCCAGGTGCTTGGAGCTGCTCCACACAGGCTAATTAGAATGTGTGCCATCCACTGACAGGCAGTCACATAGCTCAGTACAACAGTGAGCCCCTGCACTGCATAGAGAAGCTGAAAGCTCACTTCAATTATTTCACAGCTCCCTCCAAACTATACATTTTTAATTCCCTTCCTTGATGCGCTGGTGTTCAGCTGGCATTTTCACTCCTGTTTCTTTCTGGCCTGTTTTCTGATGGCCTGTTTCCATGCAGCATCTCTGTGTGTAAGATATAGTAGGTGCCATAGTCCTTTGAAAGGGATTGGATTGATTCTGGAAGAGGAGAGATGTTAGGATGTACGGGAGAGAGAAGAGAGTGGGATTCGATTAGGTGGATCATGTGGAGAAATAGACTTGATAGGCTGAAGAGCCTGTTTCTGTGCCGTAACATTTTTTTTCATGATTGATAACTCAGTCCTTCACTTAGATTTCTCAATCCATCCCACCCTTCACTCACCGCATACGAGAGCGCTACCACTAAGCCAGGCTTGTGTGTCAGCCTGGCGCAGTGACAGCACTCTCGCCTCTGAGTCAGAAGGTTATGGGTTCAAGCCCCACTTCAGGACATGGAATCACTCCAATGCAGCGTTGCATTGTTGGAGGTTCCGTCCTTCAGATGAGATGTTAAACCAAGGTCCCACCTGCCTGTTCAGGTCAACGTTAAAAATCCCATGGTGATCTTCAAAAAGAGAAGGAAGTTCCTCTCTCCCAGTGTCTTGGCCAACAATCCCCCAAATAAAATTGGTCACTCACTCCATGGCTGTTTATGGGACACTGCTGTGAGCAATTGGCTGCCGCAGTTTTCCCACTTTACAATATAGCCTGTGAAGTCTCAACGATGTGATACGGCGCTATATCAAGTGCAAGGATTATTATTCATACTTGCTTCTCTACTGATGTACCAATATGACCACAGGAGTTAATATTATGAGCTTGTCTGTGTCCCTTGCAAGATTTAAATGCTTTGCCCGTAACCTGTAAGAGAGTTTTCATTCATTCATTCGTTCATTCATTCATTCATTCATTCATTCATTGAAGACTTTTATTTGCCAATAATGATCAATGGACTTGTTATATTTATGGCACTTGGCCCTCTGGTTTTAAGCCAGTTAAACACAATTTGATTTTTGGCCATTAGTTGATTCAGACAATCGCCCATGCTAAGTGTAGCTTGCTTCCTCCCCTCTGCCCTCTCTCATTTCCAGATTCATCCCAAATGCACAGGTTGAATCTTAATTGAAGAAATGGACCTGAAATTGGCAGTTAAGTTGCTGAAGGAAGGAATGGGGGTTGGAACCATCAATAATTCGAGCAACTCATGTTGATTTTATTGACAAGCCGATCAATAACCTCATTGACTCTCATCAATTCCAGGTCATTTCAGATCAAGCCGAACCTGTGTGCAGGGCAGCCAATGGAAGCTGTGTGTATCCGTCCGGATCAGACTGAAGCGCTGATCGCTGCTCAAGCAGTCAGTGGCACTAAGGAGATAGAAACATTAAAGATGCTTTGAACAGCAGGATCCTTGGTCTCCATTGACTTCTGACTCAGCCTCCTGGAGTTCATCTGAGATCCCACCCACTGATGTTCCTCAGGCTAGACCACCATGGTGAGATCATAGCCGGGATGACTCAAATCTCGCCCAACGTCCTTACACACAATCTTTTCAGCAGTGGGTCAGACACCCTGGTTAATTAGTTCCCCCCCCCCCTTTTATTTAGTCTATGAATTGGGAGGGGGCGAGGAGACAAAGACTCTGGGAAGACTGAGGACTCACTGTGTGGGATCATGGCAGGTGAGAACCCGTAACCTTCCCTTTCTGTGACTCAGCACATTGGCCTCTTTAAGCAAATTTAACATAGTTGCAAAGACAAATGAAAGGGGAGGTTGAAAAATATCTCACACAGAAGGTGGTGAGAGTGTGGCAGTCTCTACCACATGTCACATTTGAGACAGAATTCTTTGATTCTTGAAGAGGAGAACTATTAATAATAATCTTTGCATTTGATACGGCACTTTATGGTGTCTTTGAGATGTCTCAGAGCGCTTCACAGAATATACTGTAATGTGAATTGACTGCGTATTTTGTGCGAGGAACGTGGTAGCCAATTGCACACAGCAGTGTCCCATAAACAGTCATGGATTGAGTGACCAAATTATTATTGTTATTTTTATTATTATTATTTTTTAAAGGGATTATTACCCCCGGAAAAGCAACACACTAATTGACTAACAACCTGGTTCCTACTTACTGGTAGGTAAACAGAGATGTGTGGAGTAAGGAAACTTGCCCAACGTTTTGCCCTACCCGGGAATCGAACCCAGATCCTCTTGCTTTCGAGGCAAGTGCTCTAACCACTAAGATACAGGACTTTACTATTAAAGGGGACAGAGGAGTGAGTGTGAGAGCAGGAATAACCTAAATGGTTGAAATAGAGAAAAACACCAATGTAGACTATTGCATTGACTATTGAATAGCCCTCGTCTGTGCTGTAACATTCTGTAATTGGCACTTCAGTCTTTCATCTAGATTACTAAATCTATTTTACCCTTTTCTGCTGACGTACTTACCAAGTACACACTGCCTATCCATGCTCTTTACTGGTATCTCTCTCTCTCTCCAGCCAGTTGAGGAACCATCTGTGTAAAATTCAGTTAAATTTCTGTGTAACTCTTCCTGATCTGGCTTTGCAAGCCCAATCCTCTCATCCCAATGAAAGTCTAGTTTACGCGATGACTCCGTGTATTCAGTTTATCTCTGCTAGGTGGATTATTCCTTGTTGAATTGACTTGTTTTAATCCAATATGTCTGGATAATCCTTTCTTTTTTTAAACAAAAAAGAATGATTGTGCTGATTTGGTCGCTCCCATTACTCAGTGAATGTGCTTCGGTTGGAAGATCAAGTCAATGGACACAAATGCCTCTCCTTGTCTTACTTAAACAAGCCTTGAGACATTCTCTGACGGCTAGTCCCTGTTCTTGGCCTCTTGTCAGTGGCTGCCTGGTACCTGATCCCAGCGTCTTGGGATGTCCTCCCAATGTGAAAGGCGCTTTAGAAATGTAATTTTGTATTGTATGACACTCCCTGCCTCCATTCCTCCACCTTGCCCCCTCTCTACCTGTCTTTACATCCCACCTTAAAACAAACCCCTTTGACCACACTGAGATTGCTGTAGTTTGGACGTCTCTGCAGCCAGAGAGAAGACAGATTATTTCATTTAATCATATGACTTTATTGGGGGAAATGTGGTCCAGACTCGTGAAATCACTGCATCCTGAGCAGTCAATCACAGGGGCGGGTGGAGGGAGAAGTAATAGACTTTATTCAAGATAAGGCTGTTGGGGGTTTGGGGGGTAAGAATCTCCTGCATGTAAATGGGGACAAAAATTGGGTTGAACTATGTACGTTCAGAGCAGTTAGTGTCAGGGACACTGTGTACCAAATGTGGGTGTCAGGTTGCAGTGCAGTCACGATGAAAGCCTATGGGCATTTATCTCTAAGAAATATGTCTAGCCAACTAAAGGGTAGAAATCCCACCAGCTCTCGAATTATTCTACTAATGGGTCATTTCCAAGCCCCCAGAATGTGTCAAATCCTTAAACAGGGTTGTTCATTTTGAAGCTGCTTTTCTGTAACTTTATTTTAAGAACTACAGGAAATGGACTTCAAAGTTAAAACTGAATTCAACAATTTAACAAGTTCTGGATGCTCTAAGATGCTATGTTAACAGAATAAATCTAGGTGGAATTTCTGCCCACATGTTGGCATCCCGAAATCCACTCATTTGCAATTACCTTTCAGAGATAGCTCGACCTGCATCTCACACTCGGGTCCCTCACTTGGCGGAGAAATCTGTTTATTGAATCATAATTATAAACAGTCAATTTATTTTCTGTTGAAATAGTTTTATTTGATGAGGAATAACTGCACTGGGGAATGAGGTAAATTGGAAGGTGTTTGGATCTTCTTTATCAAGCGCTCCAAGACGTTAACGGCGTGAAGACGCCCGACTCTGCCACTACCTCACCCCTCAGGTCGCTGAAACTCTTGTTCATGCCTTCATCACCTCCAGGCTCGACTATGCAAACGTCCTGCTTGTCGGCCTTCCCAACTCCTCCCTCCACAGGCTGCAAATAATCCAGAACTCTGCAGCCCGTGTCCTCTCCCGCACCAAACTCCGCAACCCCATCTCCCCCACTCTCGACCGACTCCATTGGCTCCCTATCCTTCAGAGGATCCAGTTCAAGATCCTGGTCCTCACATACAAAGCCCTCCATGGCCTCGCCCCACCTACCTCTGCGACCTCCTAACCCCCTACTAACCCGCCCATTCCCTCCGGCTCTGGCCTGCTCCATGTCCCCTGACCCACCCACCTCACCATTGGTGGGAGAGCCTTCAGCCACTGTGCCCCCAACCTCTGGAATTCCATCCCCCAGTCACTCCGCCTTGCCCCCTCCTTAGCCTCCTTCAAGTCCCGTCTCAAGACCCTCCTCTTCAACTATGCCATCGGCCACCTTCCTTCCCCTCCCTTCCTCCAGGGCCCCTCCCCCCACCTCAGCTCGGGTCAGAAATGCTGTACTCTGTCCAGCCCCTTGGGAACCTCCTCCCGACGTGAAAGGCACTATACAAATGTAATCTTGTTGTTGTTGTTGTTGAAGGGCCCAAGTGAAGGGCACTATATAATGCAAGTTGTTGTTCTATCCGTGCTGGTATTAGGCACAGGTCGGCTGAATGTGCCCTTTGGGATGTCCTCCTTACTTGAGAGGCATGATACAATGTAATTTGTTGTTGTTGCTGGTCCCATATCACACAATGCAAGGCATATATGGACTGCCTCTCCTGTGGAAGTGAAGCCAGAGGGAAGGCGTAAAAGTGTGCAGAACTTCTATAGCTATATCTCATTGTAGTTTCTGGAGTGCTGCTGCATAGATTCGCTGCCTGTTGTTCTTGTATAACAACGTTCCCATCATACATTTCTGATCAATTATATTTTGTAACCGAAAGTGCTTTGCAGCGTTTATTTTTACATGAAGGGTGTTATCTGAACACAAGTTGTTGTTATGTAGTATGCTAAGTGGGACAGGGAAATAAACAGGGAACAATGCTTTCAGAAACATCAGGGCAGAAGGACCCGAGGGCATACATTCAGGGACGTAATGAGCAATTGTAGGATAGACAGCAGAATTCTTTCTTTAAGGTTAACTGCAAGGATAGGTGACCATAAAAAGTAGTCCAAGCCAGGACCCTGACCTCATTTAAGAAATGGCTCGGTGGCAGACCAGACTGACAGCTCATTGGCAGGACTTGGAGGGCCAGATTGGGGCAGGGATGCTTCCCACTCATCTCCTTGTTATCCCTGCAAGCCAAAGGCCAAATAGGTCAGGTGGTCCTAGCTGGACAAGCAGCAGGAAAGCTTGCCAGACAGTGATCTCAAAGTCAAGCCATTGTGGTTTTAGCTGGTTTGACTCCAGCAGTTACCCCAACGCACACTCTTGGGTCCGCAAGACTTGGTTTGGAGACTCTTAAGCAGGGAGCACAGGTTTCCACACTTGTCAGATACCCACATGACCAAATAAAATATTTTTATTGTGGAGTCCCATAGTGTAGTGGTCAGCTCGCCTCACAAGGAAGAGAGCGTGGTTCAATTCCTGGGTGGAGTGAAACCTTAGGCAAGTTTCCTTGTTCCACACGCCTCGGTTTGCCTAGCAGTAAATAGGAACCCAGTTGTTAGTTGATTGGCAGATCACTTTCCAGGGGTAATAATCTCTCCAAAATATATAAATAAATAAAAATTGGTCACTCAATCCACAACTGTTTGTGGGACACTGCTATACGCAATTAGCTCTGCATGTTTTGCACAAAATACACAGTCGATCCATTTTACAATATATTCAGTAAGCACTTAGAAGCATCTCAACGACATGGTAAGGCGCTGCATCAAATGCAATTATTATTATTGTTATTACATGGGCAAAAGAGCCTTTTCTTGCGGTTACAAAGTGGCCGAGCATAAGGTTTAGATGCTCAGGAAATGACAGAGCTGGAATGTGGCCAGGCAGGAGCGAGTTAATTGTCAGCGTTTTAACAGGATAATAAATGGAATAAAATGAAGTGCGGGTCCAGAAAGCAGTGACTGGAGCTGCAGTCTCTGTGATCACACTGCATTTTACCGTGTTCCCTAATCCTGACTTCAGAGTCATTCTAATCAGACAAAAAGCCTTCCATTGTGACTGTCTGCCTTGTCACGCCGAGTTATAAGTAGGCTTATTAAAGATTGATATTAATGGAAATATTCAAAAAAAAACCTGCTGACTAAAGAAGTGTGAAGGATTGTTGCAAAGCTGTAAAATTGAATTCCAAGAGAGCGACTGGGCCAGTTATCAGGCTTAAACAGGGCGGATTTACGAATTAATAGAAAATTGTCATGTTTTAATCAATCTGAAATTGCAGCTGTGTAAGACCCCTGTCTTGAAACGTAAATCAAATTACTGTGTGCTCATAATATGCTTTGGAACCTGTTGAATGGTGACTCTCCTCCCCTCCTCTTTCCCCCACCCCCACCCCTCAGTTTTTCTTGTAGCATTATCACAAATAAATGAGTCTGTCAGAGAAGTTTTCCTCCCAACCCCCTTCTCCCCACAGAATAGGGTTCCCCCTAAATATGGTTTCCCTCAAATATATTTTAAAAATCCATTCAATTTTTTAAGATTGAAATAGATAGGTTTTTGTAACGTATATGTATCAATAGATATGGATAATTGAGGTACAGACCAGCCATGATCTTATAGAATTTCAGAACGGGCTCCAGGGGCAGAATGGCTTACTCCTGTGCCTATGTTCCCTTTTCCCCCACCCCCCTCCAATTTTACAGAAATTTGCAGTGTGGCCACATACCCCTTGACGTCAAAGGATAAAATGAAAACCATTCTCAAAGGATCCAGTCTTAGTCCATTTGGCAGAGAGTTCTGAGCACTGACATATTGCTCCCCCTCACTCCTCCCCTCATCCTGCAGCTCATGTAGATATGGATCAGGTTTAAAAATCAAATTAAGAGGCCTCAATGTAAGTGCCGATGTTCATGACCCCGTCTGTTGCCAGAATATAAGCCAGTACAGGTTTTCCAAAGGCTAGCTTTCCTCTCGCTTGTTTTCTCCCACAAAATATCCAGTCTATTCATTTTCCAGTATATTCACTGCAAAGGGAAGAGAGTTGAGACGTCTCGAAGACGTGATAAGGGCTGTATCAAATGCAAAAATTCTTATTCTCTCCCTTTCTCCCTCACCCTCGCTCTTGCTTTCTTTCTCTCATTCTCTCTCTCACGCAACTCTCTCTCACTCTGCCTTACTTTTCACGATATCCCTGCTTTAATTTGAGCAGTGTATCAGCGCCTTGTGAGGTGAGGGGGAAGGGGGAGGCACAGGGGATAGATTCCTGCACTAAAATATTCCAGAAATTTATTGTTTCTAATTTTTGAAAAATCCAAAGAAAGTTGACTTTTCTGAAAGGAAAGGAATGAGAAATGAAATGAATGGCTTTCACCCTCTACATGCTCCCCCTTGGTGATATCATCCGCAGACATGGAGTTAACTTCCACATGTATGCGGATGACACCCAACTCTACCTTTCCTCCTCTACTCTCAACTCCACGACCACCGATGTCCTGACAGCTGCCTGTCCGACATCGAGTCCTGGACGAGAGACAACTTTCTTCAGCTCAATGTGCGAAAAACCGAGGCCCTCCTGATTGGTTCGCGTCAGCGCCTCCGCACCTCAGGCGCCGACACCATCAGCATCCAAGGCTGCCCTCTCCACCTCTCAAAGCCAGTCAGGAACCTCGGCGTTTTGTTCGACTCTGAGCTGTCCTTTCTCCCTCACATCCGCACCACAACTGGCACCGCCTTCCATCACCTCCGGAACATCGCCAGACTACGGCACTACCTCACCCCTCACGCGGATGAAACCCTGGTTCACGCCTTTGTCACCTCAAGGCTGGACTATGGGAACTCTCTCCTCGCCGGCCTTCCCGCCACCTCCCTCCACAAGCTGCAGGTCATTCAGAACTCTGCAGCTCGTGTACTGTCCCGCACCAGGCTTCGCGACCACATCACTCCCACCCTCGCTCGCCTCCACTGGCTCCCCATCCCCCAGAGGATTGATTTCAAGATCCTCATCCTCACCTACAAGACCATTCACGGCCTTGCTCTCTCCTACCTCTCCAACCTACTATCCCCCTACCTACCTGCCCGTACCCTCCGTTCCTCCGGCTCCGGTCTGCTCCACGTCCCCCGCCCCAACCGCCCTACCATCGTTGGTCGGGCCTTCAGCCTCTCAGCTCCGAGGCTCTGGAACTCTATCCCCCAGTGCCTTCGCCGCCTCCTCCCTTTCCTCTTTCAAGGCCGGTCTCAAAACCTTTCTCTTTGACCGAGCCTTCAGCTCCCCTCTCGACTCTCTTCCCCCTCCTCGCTCCCTCCCTCCCCTCACCCTGACCATTTCCCCCTCCTCGCTCCCTCCCTTCCCTCCCCTCACCCTGACCATTTCCCCCCTGCTCGGGTCATGACCCAACTGTGCAGCGCCTTGGGACGTCCTCCTGACGTGAAAGGCGCTTTATAAATGGAATCTTGTTGTTGTTGTTGTTTGAAAGGACAGCACCTCCAACAATTCAGGATCTCTACCTCTCGTCCCCTCCCACAATACTGTCTGAAGTGTCAGCCTGGCAGGTGAGCTCCAAGTCCTAATGCGGGGTTTGAACCTATAACCTTCTGACCCAAAGGACAGAGCAGTGCCAGGCTAATACCTAATTTACTGACAATGTAATGGAAGGTTCTGCCCACTTGGTGAGCAAATGCTGTGTTAATGGCTCCACTCTTTACATTAGCAACAGCCAGCACACGGCCAGGGGCGAAGGGTCACAGTGTAATATTTTCTTGCTGCTCATTAGAGGCACACGAGAAACACAGAACAAATGCTGGCTTTTATTTCTCTGTTTCTCTCTCTCATTTTCACTCTCGCTCCCTCTCCTTCTCTTCCCCTCTAGTTATCTCAATCTATGACACCTTATCAATAGAGGTGATGCTGGGGATTAGTAGTATGATTAGACTCATTTGTGCACAGGCATCTTTCAAGTCCAGCACAAATTGATTGGATTTTGCTTCCGAGAGATTGTATTAAATGTTAAATGAAAGCAGCTGAACAATAGGAGTTGGAATTCCACATCGGCCTGTCCCTTCTGGGTTCACTCCTGATGGCATCATTTGTGCGTCCGCCTGGCTCAATCAGTAGCATTCTCACCTCTGAGTCAGAGGATTGTGGGTTCAAGTCCCATGTAGGGACTTTGAATTCACAGCGCAGGCTAACGCTCCAAATCCAATAATGGGGAGCGCTGCACTGTCAGAGGTGCCATTCTTCCGATGAGATGATAAACTGAGGCCCTGTTTGCCTTTTCAAGTGGATGGTAAAGATCCCACGGCACTATTTGAAAAGAGAAAGGAGTTTCTCTCTCCCGGTGTCTCTCCTCTTTCCTGGCAAACAATCCCCCAGATAAAATCAGTCTTTCGCTTCATTGCTCATTATGTAACTAACCAATGAACAAGATCACAGGTGACTCCTTAATCTTTTGCACCGGGGAAATACATATTTAAGGGGAACATGTATATGTTGGAGCACGGTTAGCCCATGGGCTATTAGCCCGACCTGGGAGATGGATCACCCATCACACCAGAAACCAGTCACCATGGAATACCAAATCTACAGGAGGAGTGCTAGAGGAAGAACACTTTCTCTCTGTCTCTCTCTCTCACACACACACGCACACACACACACACTCTCTCTCTGGCAAACTGAACCCAACCTATCCAAGAGAGTTAGTAATCCAATGGATTAGTACAGTTGGATGGGTAGAGTTTCCAAGGAGAAACATCCTTGCTCTTTAGTGAAAGCAGAGGGAATAAATCGCGTTCTCCTAACAATTGGGCTCCTTTAGCTTCAAGAGAAAAATTGGTTGAAGAGAAAAATAATTCTAGCAAGACAAGTAGCGCAGAACATTTTCTTCACTTCTGTGTGTGTGTTTGTGTGTATTTATGTGTGTGTGTGGGGGGGTGTGGGGAGTTTGGTGGTTGGAAGAACGGTTGGGATGTTTCCCAGTTGATAATTTCAAACGAAGAGATTGATCATACAGTAAGTCTCAGTTTGTAATTGGTTTGTGTTTACCGCTCTAATTGTTGTTTAATTACTGGCGGAATTTCATTTATCTTAGGAGTAGTTTGTCAGAAAAGTTTTCATCTCGCCAGTTTACTCCAAAGAAAAATTACTAGAAGAAAAAAATTCCATTGCTACAAACGACAGCTTCAGTCAGACTCTTCACACAAACACAATAAAAACAGCCGATTTGTCGATGATGTAGCATTTCAGAGCCTGAAATTGTCCATTTTGTCTTCAAGATTTTAAAGCAACATGGAGTTATGAAACATTCTTAAATCCTTAATCAATAAGTCTTAATTTGGAAGCTCGTTCCTTTTCAAGAAATCAGCTGTGGAAAATCAGCTTCCAATTCCAGACTGGATTTAAGAAATTTTCCACAATTCGCACCACCTTAAATTTGAAGGCAGAAATGTCCTGCAGGCTGAGACTAGGTGGAATTTCAGGCCTCAGCTACTCCCTTGTCTTCCTACTAAAGAATGGGTCTTGCCCTGTGTGTAATGTCGGCAATGTTCACCTCGCATGAATCATCCCTCAGAGGATTTCCTTGGACCTCTCCCAGCTTCTCCATCATGCCCACACACTGCATTAATCAACAGGGAGAAAAAAAAGGTCACCTCATGTGAGAGCTCAGTGTAGGGAATGACTTTGAGTCTGATGAGCAGAACCCTCATCTCTGCGGAAACGAGAGTCAGAGCTCGTACCCAACAGAGGGAATCCCTGTTGCTCCAACCCTCACAGGGAAACCACTGTCACCGTCCTCCTGCTGCTGTATCTTATCATAAGGCAATTTTTACTGTGACTAACCCAAGTCTTGATCTACCCAGGGCTGGGTTATAGCAATACACCTTCCCTCAACATATTGTCTCCGTGTGTGAGTGTGTGTTACTCTGTGTTGCTTCCCTGTGTGATTGACGTTTTTGATTCTAAACAGACAAGATATTGTAGACCGTGGCAAGCTGTTTCATCTTGTCCAGAACAGTAGAACCAGAGGACACGGCCTGCGATTGAGTGGGGTGGGGGGGTAAATAAAAACAAATCAGCGGAAACACTATTTCAGAGAGGGAGTAGTAAAAATCTATGGAACAGGCTCCCTAGGGAGATGGTGGAAGCAGAAAGTGTCGATTATTTTAAATACAAATTAGATCAATGTCTTTTAGGAAATAATATTTTGGGATGCAGTATATGAGTAGTTCAGGACCTGACATGTGCAAGCGACTACCAGGATGGTGGAAGACGCAGTGGATAGACCTTGCTTTTTTCCATCTAGCAATTCCTATGTGTGGATATGTATTCGTGTCTATCTGTGGGGCTGGATGTTAGATTGAGTTTTGCAGGTGGCGAATCACTGACTAACCATATCTGTAATTCTCTGACCCAGGTGAAAATGAACGGGACCCTGCCCCGGTCTTCTATGGAGAAGATAGGAAGCCCCTAGGGAAAGCCGCCATTCCTGTGGAACTGAGGTAAGAAAGAGCCCTTTGTGAGAATTCACCGCTCCAGACCATGCTGTGCTCAGAGTGTGCCAGGTAACCTATACTCACACCTCGCTGTGCCTTACGCCACATTGTCAAGTTCTTTGGCGGGGAGTCAGTCACCTTGTTTGTTACAAGTGCCTTTTAAAGGTCGTTGAATTAAGCTGGTGAATGATGTTCGGGGCCTTTAACAATGCGGAAAAATCGAGCTAATGGGACGTTTTGAATTTGAAAACATTCCTATCTCCCAGCTACTTCAGACAATATATTTATTATAACAAAGGACATGAGCTTCAGGTGCCTTTCTGCTGAGAACAGAAACAAACTCAATATTGTTCACAAAATAGCATATGTGCCAAAATCTATTCAAATGAAACTCCTCGGCGTCTGATACAGATCAGCAGTGTTCAGGGCGTCCTCCGAGTCCTGACATTTCTCCTGCTCTTTGCCTTAAAGTTTAAAATGGTGAAAAGTTTGGACAAAATTCTTAAACTCAGTGTTAATTTAGAAGCCGTTTTTCTGAGCTTCTTAAAAACAAAGCTTCCAAATTAAAACAGAATTTAAATAAGGCGGTGGTGTTAAAGGCTAAGATGGTGAGAAATGTCAGGGTTCAGATGTGGTTTCCGGGGGCGATGGAGTCGGACGATTTGTAAGTGCACAAGTGATTTGTAAGTCTATCAGGAGTGCTTCAGATCAGTGCTGGGGGATGTTTCATTGTCAGAGATGAGACATTAAACCGAGGTTCTGTGACTGTTCAGGTGGATACTAAGATCCCTCGACGCCATTGGAAAAGAAAAGGGAGCTTCTCCCTGTGTGCTGCCCAGATAAAACAGTCGGTCACTTTAATAATAAACGATCCGCCAATCGACTAACAACCGGGTTCCTACTTACTACTAGGTAAACAGAGGTGTGCGTGTGGAGTAAGGAAACTTGCCCAACATTTCGCCCTGCCGGGAATCAAACCCAATCTCTTGCTTGCGAGGCAAGTGCTCTAACCACTGAGCTACAGGACTTTCAGGCTTTAATGCTCTTTCTGGGACTCCTCTGTGTACAAAGTGCTGCATGTGTCTACTGATACAGTCATTCTCCTGGACAACAATTACAGTAACTGTAAAAAAAGACTCTTTGAGATGTATTGATTTTATAGACGCTGCATTAAATTCAATGAGTTTTTACTGTATTATATTATGTGCTTCAGAGGAGCCCACTGCACAGGCGTAAGAGTTTCAATTTCACACGCAGTCATTGTATAGCCTCTATATATAATAATAATCCTGGTATGTTATAGCGCTTTATCGTGACGTTGAAACGTCTCAAAGCGCTTCACAGGATAAACTGTGAAGTGAATTGACTGTGTATTTTGTAGGCGAAACATAGCAGCCAGTTATGCACAACACTATCCCCCAAACAGCCATTGAGTGAGTGACCAATTTTATTTGGGGGGACTGTTGGCCAGGACATGGAGAGAAAAACTCCCTTCTCTTTTCCAGTGGTGCCATGGGATCTTTCACAGAACAGGCAAGCGGGGAGCTCGGTTTAATGTCTCTGAATGAGATTGCCACTGGATTAAGGACAGTTTTTGAGCTGTGTGCCTCACACCCACGGGGAACTGGCACGGACTGCTCTTAAACTATTTACACAGGTTCTTCACAATCAGCAGAGCGAGAGAAAGTGAGAGAGAGAGAGAGAGAGAGGAAGAGAGGAAAGACCTTTTAAACTCTTCAGAAGAGGCTGCATTTAATCCCAAAGTACAAAGGGCAGTCTGCTAATCCAGTTCACCCCACCCCCCCACTCCAATTAAAGTTAAATTTAACAACAAACGGCACAAACTATTTTGAAGAGGTATTAGATTAACAGAATTACTTGGAGACTGGGTTAAGATCCTTGCTAACGAGATAGCCATTTTATCGCGGTTATGAACACGATCTGTTTATAGTGGAGGCTGAGGAATGCTTTCTAGAAAACAGCTGTTATAGTGACGTTTTGCTGTGATAATGACTATTGGTGCTTAGAAAATACAAGGGTGAGAATTAGTGACAAATGATGTGATAGATAAGTAACTGTAAACAGTTTCATAAAGACACGGGACAAATTCCTGGAAATGAAAAGGGTTTGAAGTTTAGGGGTGGGTACGTTGCAGAATGTCGCGTGGGATGTTGAATGGATAGCCGAATGGTTTACTCCTGCCCAAGATTGTTAACAAGATCACAAGAGAGATTCAGGTGAAGAAGACCCATCTCTTCTCATTAATCCAGAGTCCCCATCTTACTACCATCCTCCCATCACAGCAGCAAGCTGTTCCTTAAATGAGTCCCAGTACCCCAGCCTTCACCACCTTTCCTGGTAACCTCACTCCAGTCATCATTCACCCTCTGGGAAAAGAAATATTTCCTGGTGTCTGTCCCGAAGTTGCCCTTCGCATTCCAGAACCTGTCCCGCTCTTATCTTAGTGGGTTTGAAAGTCGCCGTGTTAGCGAGATTTTGGATAAAGATTTGTAACTTGTGAATCCTAGGTGTATAGGGTTGGCTCTCTGGAACATCGCTCAAAGGTGGGAGGTGAGATCGGAGTCTGAGCCTGCCCTGTGTAACACATCCGGGATTCACTTGTTCTATATCTTTTTCCAAAATCCCACCCATTTTCACCCATTCTTAATATGAAACTGAGAGAAGCATTTAACAAAGCATGGATTCCCCTCTGATGTCCAGCCTCCCTTTACAATCAATCTCATGGCAGTGTCTCAGGCTGTAAGCGGCAAGATCTGGCTAATGGAGGGAAGGGAGGAGTTTCACAGCCTCTGGGTCCTGGGAGTGAATGAGTCTGAGTAAAACATGACATTTGACTTCAACAGTCAGGTTGCAGCAAAATGATTTTTTTGTAGGATATTGTCCCTCGTAGAACTGGTATAATAAAATGGTTGGAGCTGCCCAGAGGCAGGAATAGTTCATGTGGAAATTACAGACCACTTAGCCTAACATCCATAGTGACAACTGCTCGGGCACATTATCTGAAATATAATCAATGATCTTCTAAACAACATGGATATCATAAGGATATCATATCTCTTGCCTCGCTTCTTACTGAAATTCGATCAAGTGTAAGAGTGCTGTCCACTTCATTACTTAGATTCTCAGGCATCAACCTGTCAAAGTTCTCCTGCCCAGCTTTTAAATCCAGAGACCTCCTCTTTCTCCTCCCCCACCCCAGTCATCTCAAAGTGCTTCACAAAATATATTGTAAAGTGCATTGACTGTGTATTTTGTGGGCAAAAGCAGCAGCGAATTGCATACAGCAATGTCCCACAAACAGCTGCGGATTGAGTGACCAAATTCTATATTTTTTGGGAGGGATTATTACCCGCGGAAAGCAATCCGCCAATCCACTAACAACCAGGTTCCTCCTACTTACTGCTAGATAAACAGGGGCGTGTGGAGTAAGAAAACGTGCCTAGGGTTTTGTCCCACCGGTGAATCGAACCTGGGTCCCCTCGCTTGCGAGGTAAGCACGCTAACCAATACGCTACGGGAGTCATTCCACCTAAAAATAAATGGGTGACAAGCCAACCCCTCAGCTTGCTCTCTCCTCTCACCTTTGTTCTCAATGTTCGAAATGATAAAGACAGATTTAATGTGAAATTCCTATTCAAAGTGTGAGGAACGGAGGTTGCTTTGTCTCCCTGGGTATACTTCCTCCTACAAAAAACCCAGAGCAGACTCGATCCATCTGCGATGTGTTGGCAGCCGGGCTATCAGCACAGCATGTCAAAATTCTGGCTTGCAAGCAAATATCTGCTGCGAGCACGAGACTTTAATTGGTAGCTTTGTCTATTTAGCTGCCACTTTCCTGGTTGAAATCTCTGTGGGGTTTTTTCCTGTTTGTTTTCTCAGCTTGACTGTGATATTTAGACTTGACGGGAGCTGGGAATTCTACATTGATAGGGTGAAGGGCTTTACAAATGATGAGAGTTTGGTTTTCATCAGTTCATATCTTGACACTGAGGCGTAGGCATGACATAGGAAGTGACGGGGTCCAAACCACCATTTTGTACCATATTTCATAAAGGATTTGATGTAATCGCGTTGATTTGACGGGACAACAGGGGGCGGGTGGGGTTAAAAAGCCGGTTCCTTTAGAGAAGGGCAAAAAACTGCCCCCAAATAGAGACCAAGTTTAAGGGTTTTCCCCAAAACTGAGCCATCTTCAATGTGAAGATAAAATCTCGTGCAGTAAGACAAGTTGGTATTTCAGATTTTGTGGAGTCAAACTTACCTTTTGTCCACTTAAATCCCTGGGTTTGCATTCACACCTTATCTGCTCTCAGTGATATTTGCGCTCTGCCATGTCACTGCAATGCTTCTAGTCTATTTGTGTTTATTTCATTCTATGGCACGTTACAGCCGTTAAGACTGACAAGTCTACTGAGTTTGAGATGAACATCTAGTGTCCTTGCAACCCTTTAACGGTTCTTCCAATTTTCTGAGAGATTGGGTGGTTTAGCTGGCTGAAGTGTTGTCACAACCTGCTTCTCTGTCCCGAAGCATTGACCACAATCTCGTGATCTGTATTCATTATGAAAAAGACTGCGTGCATCATTGACATGTTAGCAACAAATCGAAAGGTTTATTTTAGATGTTGCTTCCCACGCTTTGCATAGCTCAGGTGTCAAGCTGGCTCAGACAGCCACTCTCTCGCCTCGTCTGGGTGGGGGGGTGGGGGGTGGGGTGTGTCAGAAAGCTGTAGCTTCAAGGCCCCACGTTGGGGAGTCTGAGCTGGTACTTCAGGCTGACACTCAAGTGCAGCGCTGGGGGAGTATTGCATTATTGATGGCATCTCCCTTCTGATGAGATTTAAACCGAGGTCTGTGACTGTTCTTCAAGTTGTTGGTAACAATTCTATGACGCTATTTGAGAAGTGAAGGGAGTTTTTCCTGCTGTCCAGGCCAACAATCGTCCAGATTAATTCAGTCATCCATTTTATGGCTCTGTGCGGGACC